GGGTCGTGCTCGCACTAATCCAATGCGTGACGCGTAGTGGAGTTCGGCAGCCGTCTGGGACAAATAAGCACACCTATTTATAGGTGGCACTGCTTACCCCTCGCGGGGAAGGGAGCTGTAAGATTGGCGTAAACAAATGCTGGGTTCAAGATATTTACGCGCGAACCGTGGCTGGCAGACAGCAGTGCATGCGGTCGAAGCGATCCAGTAGAAAATAACAATCTCCTCCTCCTCCTCCTCCTCCTCCTCCTCCTTCTCCTCCTCCTCCTCCCCCCCTCCGTCCCAGGCTGATAGGGTGAGTCTGCTCACCCTGACAGCCTGGAATATTGAGTGCATTTTAGACCATCCGAGGGGCAGACGACTGGAACGGAGCTCGGCACTAGTCGCTCGAGAACTAGTGTGTCACAATGTAGTGCACTCGGCGAAACACAGTTCTCCGGATAGAGTCAGTTGGAAGAGGCGGGTGCGACCTACACCTTCCTCTGGAGCAGCCGCCCCAGGACGGAACGACGGGAAGCGGGCGTCCCCTTTACCCTACGGGATGACACTTATCAGACAACTGCCCTGTCTGCTGCAGGGTATCAACAATCGCCTGATTAGCCTCCGTCTGCCTCTTTAAGGACGAAACTTCTCCACCCCCTGGCCGTCTCTGATGAAGCGAATAACGAATTCTACGAGGTCCGCACGCCCTCCTGGCGACTGCGCCGAAAGTAAATAAGTCGATTGACCCTGATGACTTCAACGAACACGTTGGCACGGACTATGCTGCCTGGAGGGGAGTTCTGGGTCCCCATGGTCTTAGCCGCCTCAGTAATAATGGCCTGCCGCTCCTGCAAAACTGCGCAGAGCGCCGTTTCATCCTGACCAACACCTTCTTCCACCTTCCGACGCGGAAGAAGGCGACCTACATGTACTCTCGGCCAGGACACTGGCACCTGCTGGATTATGTCCTCGTCTGAAGGTGGGACCAACTGAACGTGCTGGTAACAAAGGCGATTCCGGGTACCGACGAATGGGCCGACCACCGCATCGTCATCTTCAAGCGGAGTATTCGCCTACAGCCAAACAGGAGACCTCAAGGTAAGCGACCACCAGGTAAGTCGAATATTGTTTTGTTGAATGTGACTGCTCATCACTGTCATTTCAGCGACGAGCTGGCCCAGCGACCAGCCAAAATTTCAGTCGCCAACGAGGTCGCCAACGGGGAGAATCGATGGCGCCAACTGAGGAACACAGTCCAGTCAGCCGATCTGGCTTTCCTCGGCCGTGCACGTCGTCAAAACCAGGACTGGTTCGACGACAACGACGTCGTCACCAGCAACCTGTTCACCGAGAAGAACCGGGTGTACGAAGACTATGTTAACCGCCCTACCGACCCAAGCAAAGCAGCTTTCTACCGAAGTTGCCGTCTAGTGCAACAGTGGCTGCAGAAAATACCGGACGCCTGGATAGCTCGCATGGTCGAGGAGATCCAAAAGTACGCGGACCGAAACGAGCGGAAAACGTCTGCGCTGCCGTCAAGGCTGTTAACGATGATACAGTCAAAGGAACCTCTCCTCTTCTCATCGCCGACGAAACCAATCTTCTCACAGAAATCAAAGTCTGCAAACAACTGTCATGCCACGCCTCAGCAAACCATGTCCCTCACAGCCTGGCGCGAGCTGGCACGCTCTGGCACCTGGTTGCCTTTTGACGGGTGTGCTAGCACTCTCGCTGGGCATGCAGGCCGCTGACCAGTCATCCTCGTCGCTTTTCTAATCCGTTTATTGGTTAAAATACCGGGCAAGTGTTTGTTGCGGACCAGGGGGTGTGGTGGTACGCCTAGGTGCGGGTCCGGCCGTGCCAGCCACCTGTACCCTCCCCCGCCTTATGTCTCCGTCTTGACACCGGGTGCGCGTGCTGGAGGAGGAGAGGGTGCGGTTGGCGCTGCGCAAGTCCACACTCACCATAAACTAATTCATGCGCAAGCCACCGTGCCTGCTTCACCTTGCTGTAGAGCACACGGTGGACATCGTCTGCAACGATATTCGAGCTATTACCTATAAGTAATACACTGACAACTCCGGCCGAACATACAGTAGATGTGCTAACTCATGAAATGTCAACCAAAATTTCGAAATGCGTTCTCCTTTCGAAAAGATAAATTAAGTAGTGTTGTAAAACTAATCATCATGCAGCATAAATCTATAATGATCCAGTTACCTGAGGATGTCGGCTTTCGAAAGAACTTATTTTCGGCTGCATGCAAGATCTATACTCTGCAAAAAATGACCACTTAATTAGCATGCAATTTTCTCGTTGCATTTCGATGCCCTTGAAAATTCAATTATATTTCTCGGAAAACATGCATAAAAATCTTCATTCTTTCACTTATTCGGTAGAAAATCACGTCTTCTTCCAAATTCATACTCAAAAGAAGAGTATAATTCGGTTTTAAAAAACTCTTCTGATTCCCGAATAATTTTGAAGCCGACTTGCTGTTACACTTGCATTCAGGGTTTCAAAACTACAAGCTGTATATTTTCCGTGTACGGAAATCCATGCATTTCTCTACGGTGTTAAGAGGAGACCATATGAGTTTCATAAAATTTAGCAGTGGATTTGAGCAATATTGTTAACTTTACAAGCCACATTCACAAATGCTGATACATGACGTTTCATGAACGGCCATTTAACGGTATTAAAAAATCTCACAATTAGAAACTTTTTCAAAACCGAATTATACTCTTATTTTGAGTATGAAATTGGAAGAAGATGTGATTTTCTACCAAATAAGTAAAAGAATGAATATTTTGATGCATGTTTTCCATGACAAATAATTGAATTTTCAAGGACATCGAAATGCAATGAGAAAATTGCATGCTACATAAGTAGTCATCTTTTGCAGAGTATAGATCTTGCATGCAGCCGAAAATAAGTTCTTTCGAAAGCCGACACCCTGAGGTAACTGGATCATTATAGATTTATGCTGCATTATGATTAGTTTTACAACACTACTTAATTTATCTTTTCGAAAGGTGAACGCATTTCGAAATTTTGGTTGACATTTCATGAGTTAGCCCATCTACTGTATAAATGAATCTGGTAGACACTTCGGCTACTTTTCGCATCATCCCTCATCTGTGATTCCATGAGACCGTGCTTAGCACGATGGCGTCACTCCGGCGGTAACCGTCGTCGATCGGCATTCAGGAATGGCCACTGTCTTGGACGGTAGAACTTTCTGTTTACTAACTGCCCGTAGCTCTCTGATTGGCCCTATACCCGAGAGTTTTCTATCTGCGTCCCGCAACCAGAAAAGATGCCCCTTCTGCGGCATTTGGCCCATCTTATGAAGTGTTAATCAAAATGCTGAAATGTGTTTTCAACTACTGAGGGCGACCTAGCGGTGCTCTAACATTGATTACCGTACAGCATAATCCCACGGTATTCCCGAGACGCCAGGATGCCGGCTCTTGAATGAGCCTCTTTCCAGCAGCTTATTAAGATCATACTCATTAAAAAATGACTGCAGGTCTAACATTGACTTTCGATCTCCTCTCGCTTGATGGAAGATCAATTTTTCTCTAAATCTACTACTTAAAGAAAGGTACGTTTCGGTCTCATAAATTCTGTAATTATGATATTGTCTGGGATCGTGAAACACCCACTCATTCAATGTCGAATCTGTCCGTTTATTAACGTATAAAACATGGTCGCCATTCATTGTTCAATTCTATTACCTCTATGTGACATCTTCTTAGGGCAAAAAGCAATGTATTATTTTCCTTAGACGGAACGTTTCAGCACTTAGTTTAGAAAGTACAGTGCGTGACCTATCTCATGAAATGTTGGCTGAAATTCTGAAATGCGTTTTCGATTAGGAAAGATTACTTGGTCGCGGTTGTGATACTGATTATCTTAAGGCATACTCTTATAACATTTTGGACTTGGCAGGATGTCGGCTTTTAAATGAATTTCTTTTCAATCTCCTGTCGAAAGCGTACTCGGTAAAAAGTGACTACTTATGTAGCATGCATTTTTCCCATTGATTTTCGATGGTCTTGCAAATTCAAATATATTTTATAGAAACCACAAACAAAAATGTGCATTCTTTTAATCAATCAGTAGAGAATCACGTCTTCTTTATATTTTATACTTAAGGAAGGAGTATAATTAGGTCTTTAAAAAGTTTTCTAATTGCCGAAAAATTTGGAGCCTGATCATTCGTTGGATTAGCGCTTAGTGATTGCACTCTACAAGGTGCATGCGTTCCTCGTAAAGAAAATCCCATATTTTTCTATGTCATTTAAGAGATATCATACAGGGTCCATAAAAGTTTGCAATGGATGCGGACCATGTTGTACATTTCATGAGGAGCAGTGGTAAATGGCCAGGTACGATGCTATGTGAATGGACATATCGCGGTCTTAAAAAGTCTCATAATTAGAAACTTTTTTCAAACCTAATTATACTCCTTCCTTAAGTATACAATATAAAGAAGACGTGATTGTCTCTTGAGTGACTAAAAGAAAGCACATTTTTGTTTGTGGTTTCTATAAAATATATTTGAATTTCCAAGACTATCAAAAATCAATGGTAAAAATGCATGCTACATAAGTAGTCATTTTTTACCGAGTACGCTTTCGACAGGAGATTGAAAAGAAATTCATTTAAAAGCCGACATCCTGCCAAGTCCAAAATGGTATAAGAGTATGCCTTAAGATAATCAGTATCACAACCGCGACCAAGTAATCCTTCCTAATCGAAAACGCATTTCAGAATTTCAGCCAACATTTCATGAGATAGGTCACGCACTGTAAAAGAACAGGAGCAACTGCCGGCATAATTCAAAACGATTCAGCAATGTAAACGCGATTGTTAAAACCGAAAGATACCCTTCAAGTAAAAATTGAAGGGGCGTAGGTTACCAGCAAATGAAAACGAGGAAGAACACTTTTACACATATTTTCTATAACAGATATTCGAATTTAATAAACACCTAAAATCCCGTTATAGTATTATACTAATTGATTATTCGCATTTATACGGCGTGTGGTCCTTGCTGGCGTTCGGAAAGGGACTCATTCAAAAGCCGAAAATTAGGCCTGACTGAAATATATTCAACTAGGGCATACTCCAAGCGTATTTTGGACACGGTGTGTAAGAGAACAGAAACTGAATGAACAAACGAAACAAATTTACGAATATTACGCAGCTATTCCCCGTTTATCGGATCTGGTGCAGTTATAATAGAATAGAATAGGTTTATTGTAGCGCCCCTTGGGCACTGTCAGTCCCCTTTGGACTCAGGAAAAAACCCAAAACAAACTCATCAATTTCAACTGCACTTTGACTTCATTTGTTTCGAGTGTCTGTTTAGCCAAAAGAGCGCGAGTAGAGAGTTTGTTTTAAGTTAAAAAAACCTCAGTTCTAAGGGACAATAATAACAAAAGTTTTAAAAAATAACGATATGTACAATATAAAAATTGAAGTTTGCAGTTTGGTAGTTTTTGGGGGTATGAATAATATGTCCTTCATGGCAATTGAAGAACTTTGACATCGGCCTGACCTTGAAATTATTTTCCTGTTGGGTAAATTTCGGTGTGCTCTAGTTGCTAGTTGTCAGTCTATCTGGCCAGCTGCAAGGGGGCGGTCGCACAGTTCCTACGTGTTTTTCAGGAGGCTTACCATCGTTGTCTGGACTAAGGACTGGAAAAGCAACTACATTGGAGAAACCGGAAGACAGCTCCTAACGAGAATGGCCGAACACGCTGCAGCGGTGCGGGGAAATGACGCCGGCTCTTAAGTTGCGACTAATTCGACGAGATCCGGCCACACATTTAAATTCGACAAGGGCGAAATTCTCGCAAGAGGTGACAACCGCGTGAGCTGGGAACTACTTGAATCATGGTTTACTGGCCCCCAGTCCATTAACAAGTGCAATGATCATTCCATTTCATACTTGGTGCTGAGACTTCGCCTAGGCGGAGTCATTGGCCACGCGGGGAGGGCACAAGTGAACACTTTTCCCAACACCATTGTCGGTACGTCAGATGGTCGAGCAATCATCACACTAAAATCCAACGCACGTGATGAAATTGCCACAATTAACGACGCGAATGTCGGCCATCAAACAATTAGCACACCAGGTGTGACGATCCCGGATGAAGGGGGGAGCCGGGAATATTCATAGGTATGCGGTAGCATGGCGACCGCATCCTATAAATACTGCAGTCCCTTGTGCATGAAGCACCTGTATCTGCTTTTGTGCCTCTGATGATGGGTTCGAGCAGGAATCCGAAACGTCGGGCTAATAAAGCTCTTGTCCCAGCGATCGTGTCTCCTTCTTCAATAGAACCTATCTTATGATCTCCAAGGTCGCCTGGGGAAGGTCTAATTAACTGGTATGTCTAGACGATAGAGGAACCAGCACCGATTTGTACCACATTTAGATTTGGTGGGATATTCTGTCAGCTGTTGCTCCATACTTCGTCTCCAGTCGCCTTCTGTCGGCTTGAGAGAGGGAAGGGCGGGTGAGATCGACTCCAGGGACTTCATCCCCACGGCACTCTGCGCATAGTCCTAACTACAATAAATTTGACGCCCTTTTAAACGTTCACGGTGCGCTAAAAGCCGTGACTGGGCAGACTGTCTCCTGACGGGATAATTCAGGCCTCCTCTCGGTACGGAGGGTCAGGCTGTTGTAGAAAGTTTTAGAAAGCTAGCCAAAGTGTCGCCATGTTGTAGAAAG